CTGTATTCTCAAGCCATCTATTTTATCTCAGCACCTTCAATCTATTGGTCAATATGTGAGATGACACTCCAAGATGACATATAGACTCCTACAACATTTTTATAAGCAACTGAGAGAAGATGCTTCTCCTCATTGGATAATTCATCTCCTTGCTCAGCTATAGACTTCTTGCAGGCTGCCATATTATTCAGCTTGCTCAGCCATTTTGGCTTTTTGCACCAGCTCATTTTTATCCATGACTGGATGTTCTGTGTCTGGAGTGGTTGGTGGCAGACAGACTCAGCAGTCTCAGGGAGAGAATTGTTTTTATTAGTTTATAGGAGTCTGATTGATTTCTGGTTGTTAATCTTGTATCTTGACACATCATTGACTCTTTTGTTTCCAACAATCGTTTTTGTCAAGTCCTTGGGGTTTTCTGCAAATAAAATCATATCACCTGCAAATAGTAAGAGTTTCACTTCTTTTTTTGCCCAATTGTATTAGTTTGATCTCTTTTTGTTGTCTAATACTTCTGGGTAGGTTTGCAGCACAATGCTGAAGAGTGGTGATAGGGGGCATCCTTTCCTGGTTCCCCCTCAAAGGGGAAATGCTTTGTTTTTCTCCATTGAGGGAGATGTCAGCAGTTGGTTTTTCATATATGGCCTTTATTATGTTGAGAAATTTCCTTTCTTTCCCTATTTTATTGAATGTTTTTATTAGGAAAAGGTTTGAGATTTTGTCAAATGTTTGTTCTGTGTTGATTGAAATGATCATGTGGTTCTTTTTTAATTTATGTGGTGGATCACATTGATTGATTTTCCTTTTCTTTTTTTTCAAAACCATTTTATTTGAAGTTAATGCAGATATAATGTCATTCCATAGTTCAATCACATCAAGCAACATTATACAATTGCTATCACAATCAGTTTCAAAACATTCTTTTCCTTCTTGAACTCAAAACACCTAACAAAAATTCAAGAGGTTCACCCCCAGTGGCAAAACACATCTGAGAAAAACCCCAGTATGAACTAACAACAACAAAAAGTACAGAAAATGTTGAAAACCAGAGCAGGCCGAACATGCATCAGAGGGGCAATCAACTGACAAGGTTTTAACTGTCCAAGACGGGTCTATCATTTTGATCTGCTATAGTCCTCTCTTCAATGCACTGTTTGGTAACAGTTTCTTCCCATCCTCTATTGTGAAGAGAGACATCTGGAGGCTTATCCCACAGTGATTGCTTTTCTAATGTTGAACTGTCCTTGTGTACCTGCTATGAATACCACTTGATCATGGTATATTGTTTTTTTGCTACCTTGTTGGATTCTATTGACCATAAATATAAGGGTTTATTTTTAGCTTCTTGGTTGTAAATTCTAAGTATATCAATACACTACTAAGTGAAATGAATCACTAATAAATTGATTTATATGTCTGTATGTCAATGTCTACATCACATTGTTTTAGTTATTGTAGATTTGTAGCACATTTCGAAATAGGGAAATGTGACTACTCCAAATATTTGTCTTTCATGATTGCTTTGGCTTTTCTCAAGTTTCCATATGCATTTTAGAATCAGCCGAAAAATTTTTGCAATGAAGTCAACTGGAAGTTTTATGGGCATTGCATTAATTGCCTTACTTTATGATAACACTTAAAAAAACACAGTCTAGTCACTTATGCCATGAAATTTCACTTAAGGCAGTAATGTGGTCCTACGTTTTCACATTGAAAAATTAGAAAACTTAAAAGGATTTGCTTATTGTAGACATCACAAAGGAACAGAGGCTGGGTTAAGACTTTTTATTTCTAACTGGTGCTGTAACTTATTAACTATTAAAATCATCAGAATCATCAGTAGACTTGTTACGGTTTCCAGGACATAAAGCAGCTTCAATTTCTGAGTTGCTGTCATCAGACTCACCCCAGAAGGCTGGAAGACAAAACCAGATAGGCATTAAATATTTCTGCATTCTAATTAGCTCTGGTTAATTGTGTTTGAAACAGCATTGCAAGATGACGAATTGGAGCAGTGGCCTGTAAAAGGTCTAGCAGATACACCACACCAAGCATCTGACCAAATACACTTGGAATATATGTTCATACTGTACAAATCTACATCCTGCCCAAGGAGTTCAATGCATGGTTATGAAAAGCACTAATTGTACCCAGTTGTTTCCTATGTTTTACCAAAATCATCCAGTTAATTCTCACTCATAGTGACCCTAAAGGACAGAGTAATAGGAACAGTGCTCCAGAGGGTGTTCAGGAATGCAAATCTTTATGGGAGCAGAGAATTCATGTTTCGTCCAGAGTGGCTGGTGGGTTTGAATGGCCAACTTTGCCATTAGCAGGTCAACACTCAACCTAACAGCACTACTTTTGCCATATCACAGGGGCTTACGAGTCAACAAGGACATATGGTCTGTTGGAGTCTTTTACTAGGCCTGATACTACCTAGTGTTATCATCTCAGTTGCTCCTCCTCTTTTCTCTCTTTCTTTATGAGAACAGAGAGAAGGAAGAGGTATCGTGGAGGAATAGACAGTGATGTTGACTCTGAGACAAGAACTTGGGTGTACATGCTTATTTGGGAGGTGATCCCAAAAAACATTGGAAGAGAGTGAGGAGGTGAAGAAGGGACGAAAGGAGGCCAATAAAGGTACTTCAAGGAATGGAGGCTGGCAATGGGCAACTGGGGCTTATCATGCTGGGGATCCTCTGAGACTTTGTAGAACACATCCCAAATTATCCCTGAAGAGTAAAGAAGTGGGGTTATTTATCTGCCAACCTGCATCTCTTGATTATTGAATGTTGTTTGGGGGACATTAGCTTGCTTGCTCTTTGGACTGTCCTGTAAGGCCACAATGCCCCGAGTGGCTAGATAAAACCCTCAGGCACAAGTACACAATGATTCCACGTAGAAGGCTCAAGTATGTGTGAAAATAGTGGCTGAGATGACTTCCAGAGGGGTCTGATCGGATGGAGTGGGGCCACCCACAGCATTTGCTGTATTAACAATCTTCGAACACTGATACTAAGATTCACATAGCTTGACCTTTCAGTTCTTAGCTAACATCTTACATGAGGTTAAGTAAAAAAATAGTATTGCTGAGAAATTATAGAAACCTTTACTAATTGAAAGTAATCACTACAATTTTCTGAGCTCACTTCTCTGCCTTGAGTTTAACTGGTCCATCGGATCCCCTCAGAAGCCACTGTTTTGAATGAATCTTTACTTTTGAAGGCACCCTAATGAGACTAAGACAGTGTATACTGAGAGAACCGGTCAGCAGCCATTCCTTGATTGCAGACATGCTTAACCACATTGTGTCTGGACTTAACTAATGTATGAACAGGAGCCCTAATAACACGACTTTTTGATTTATTCTTGGATATGGCCCGTCTTTTCCCTACAGTACCCTACAGGTCTAGCTTACTGAGCAAACAGGCTTCCAAAACTAAAATCCAAACTCACTGCTATAGTAGATCAGTCCCTGTGGGTTTCTGAGACTGTAATCCTTACGAGAGGCTTTCTCAAGCCTTATCTTTCTCCTGTGAGCAGCTGGTGGTTTTGAACTGTCGATCTTGCAGTTAGCAGCTTAATGCATAACTCACTATGCCACCAGGGCTTAAGCTGAGGCTTTAAAAATGCTCAAAATTCACTACCACTCAGTTGATTGCATCTCATAGCAATTGCTCCCGTGGGTGTCTGAGACTAAATCTTTATGGAGGTAGAAAGCCTCACCTTTATCCCTCAAACTGAGGCCGAGATAGGTTAAATATTGTAGGTCCCAAGTACAGTGTTAGTGCATGGCCAAGAAGTCGCACTCAGTTTATGTGACTCAAATCCATGCTCTTACTTATAATCTACTGGTGGTAGGGTTGAAGGCAGAGTAATAGAGTACAGCTTTGGCAAGGAATGTGGCACAGTGTTACTGTGGAAGGAGGGATCGATTCCTACTGTGAACTGGGCTTTGATGGCTGCAGAGGAGCTGACTGAGCCAATGAGAAGGGAAAGGGACTACTAGCATGAACAAAAGTACAGTGATGTGGTACATCCAGGGAAAGCTGATTGTGGCTAGATCCAAAGAGGGCAGGACCTTGGGAAGAACTAAGGTGGAAAGCAGGGCTGAGGCCAGGTCATAAGAGAAAAAGTTTGGACTTTATCCTTCAGGCCTCAGCAAGGCATCAGATATTCTTACATTGGAAGGTAAAAAGACTGAGTCAGGTTTTGGGTGCTAGTGGCCAGGTGGATGACACCCCGAAGTTAGGAAAGGGTTAGATATGAGGATAAGAGCCTACTATAAGAGCCTTGTCATTCACAAAGGAATTAGCAATGCATAGCAGTGATAATACAAAGAGAGACAGAAAAATTGTGGGTACAGTAAGCTTTTCTTAGTAATCAATTTAGATAAGCAGTCAGGATCCCCTGGAAGTTCACATCCACAAACTCAAATGCTAAGCACCTGTGGCCCATTGCACTTGTGGTTCAGTCACGGATCCTGCTTACTGTTGACGGTGTCTCGAGAAGCCAGGAACCGAGGGTCTCAACGACCAAGATCACCCTGAGCTTCTCCTTTGATCACAAACATGGTTCAAATCGTGTTGAAGCACACATATCCGGCAACTCTTTTGGAAAAATATGGACTGGAAATTCTGTGTCTGGTTGTTTCTCTTACCTTTAGATTTTAAGTTGGCAGGCAATTTCCTTTTGTTTTCATGCCTGTTTAAAAAAAAAAAAAAGGCCCTAAGTTCTGGAAGTGATAAAAGGGAGACACTCAACTTTTCATAAGGCACATATGTTGATCACTGAAAGCTAGAAATTTCACATTTATTCTCAAAGTTTTAAAAACCAAACAATGTCAGAGTCCTGTGTGGTAGAAGGGTGTCCGTGCCTGACAGCACCACTGTGGTTCTATGAGCACTCACCTTGGCCAGTTCTGTGGAAATGCAGCCAGAGCTCAGTATCCAGCCTCTATTGCATTTCCCAATAGTTGGTACCCTAGCCTCCTGGATGCTGGATACTCTGTGAATTCATCACATCTATCCCTTTAGGGACGATTGGAGGAAGGCTTATTAATAACCTGTGATACATATATGATACCACCTTGATTGCTGAAAGTGAAGAGGACCTGAAGTACTTGCTGATGAAGATCAAGGATTGCAGCCTGCAGTATGGAATAAGAAGACCCAAATCCTCACAACTAGACACTATCACATCATGATAAACAGAGAAAAGACTGAAGTTATCAAGGGTTTCATGTTGCTTGGATCCACAATCAATGCTCGTGGACCCAGCAGTCTAAAGATCACACATTCCATTGGATAAATCTGCTGCATAAGACCTCTGTAGAGTACTGAAAGCAAGCATTTTACTTTGAGGATTAAGATGCATCTAACCCAAGTGTGGTGGGTAGGTTTATTGTGCCAACCTGGCCAATAGGAACACGTGGGATTAATCAGGTTGCAGTTTGATTGGAAGGCAAAAAGATAAATGGCTCTGTCTGGTGCTGCTGCTTTAGCTAGTTCTCTGCCTCAACCTGTGTGCTACCTGTGGGCCAAGCCAACCCATGGATCATGGATCCTTTTGCTAGAGCTTGAGGCTCTTTCAAGACCTGCTTCACCTCCTGCTGGTGTGTACATTACCCCGAGCTTGAGGCTGGTGGATCCTGTTGCCTTGCATTGCTTGAGTTTGCTTCGCTAAGCTCCTGAGATACTCACTGTTGCTAACTCACCCTACTGTTTGCTGTCTGCGGGCAGACTCTGCTTGCCTTGTCTGAGGGAGGACTCCGCTGTCTGCTTCCTAAACCTTGGACCCAGCAGCCTACATGAGTTAAAAGACTTCAGTGTATTAACTGTTCCATGATAATGAGTTGAACTGAGTCTTCTGTACTGCTATGTGGACCAATTAGTTGTCATATTACTTCTTGCTGTATAAATCTATCTACCTATCCGTCCGTCTGTCCATCCATCCATCCATCCATCCATCCATCCATCCATCCATCCATCCATCTATCGAGCGTGTCCTGGTTTTGTGTCTCTAGAGAACTCTGCCTAACACACCAAGACATGGTATTTTCAATTGCAATGCATGTTAAAGTTGGAAAATGAATAATGCAAACCAAAGAAGAATCAATGTATTTGAATTGTGGTGCTGCTGAAGAATATTAAAAGTACTATGGAGTGCCAAAAGGGCAAACAAGTTTCTTATGGAAGAAGTGTGGCTCCTCAGAAGCAAGGATGGTAAGACTTGTCTTACATACTTGGGACATGTTTTCAGGAGAGCCCAGTTCCTAGAGAAGGACTTGCTAAAAGTGGAGAGGCAGAGAAAAAGAGGAAGGCCCTTAATAAGATGGAATGACACAGTGGCTGCAACAATAGGCTCAGGAATAGGAACATTTGTGAGGATGGCACAAGACTAGGCAATGTTTTGCTCTGTTGTGCAGAGGGTTGCTAAGGGTTGGAACCAACTAGACGGCACCTACCACCACCAGCATCCTTTTAAGGATAGACACTCTGTCTGTCAGTTTCTTGTACTGGAGTAGCTTGTTGCATGTTTCTATGATGCTGGAACCTATGTCACTGGTATTTCAAATACCAGCAGAGTCACTCCTGGTGAAGTTTTCAGTAGAGCTTCCACTTCTGATGAATTAGCCATGGAAAACCTTACGAATAGCAGTGGAACATTAAGAGACATACTGAAAGCTTTATGACTTGCTACAGAGTGTTGTCAGATATAGTGCTGGATGATGAGGCCCCCAGGTCAGAGGAACTCAAAATCTGACTGAAAAGGAGCTGACTTGGAAAGTAGAGTCAATCATAAGGATGGGAATGGAGCAAAGCTTTCAGGATCTTTATTTGCCGATCGGGCATGACTCAAAGTGAGAAGAAATAACTGCAAACATCTATCAAAAACTGGAACATGGAATACCTTAAGTGCAAATCTAGAAAAATTGAAAGTCAGGTACAATGAGGTGGACACAAAAAGATTGATATCCTAGGCATTTGTGCACTCAAATGGACTGGTATCGGCCCTTTGAAACAGAAAATCATATAGTTTACTATGCTGGCAATGGCAAATTCAAGAGGAATGGCGCTGCATTCATAATAAAAAAGTTCTATCTTGAAGTACAATGCTGCCTATGATAGGATAATAGCTATAAAAATGCAAAGAATTTCAGTTAATACAACAATCACTCAAATTTATAAATCAACCACTAAAACTAGAGGTGAGCACACTGAAGAATTCTACTAACTTCTTCAGACTGAAATTGATCAAGCATGCAGTCAAGATGCATGGATAATTATTGGTGATTGGAATCAAAAGTTGGAAACAAAGAGGAAAGTACAGTAGTTAGAAAACATAGTCTTGGTGATAAAAACAAAGATGCATATCTCAGATACCATTTTTCAAGAAAAACACCTTCTTCAGTTTCAATAATTTTTCTTCCCAACAATATAAATGGTGACTCTACATGTAGATTTTGCCAGATGGAATATCCAGGAATCAAGTTGACTACACTTGTGGGACAAGTTGATAGAGAAGCTCAATATCATCAGCCAGGAGCTGGAACAGACCAATAATACTCATATGTAAGTTCAGGTTGAAGTTGAAGAAAATTAAAACAAGACTACGCAAGTCAAAATTTGACCTTGAGTATATTTCACCTGAACTTCCAGAACAGATTTGACTCAATGAACACTAACATCAGAAGATCTGACATGCTGTGGGATGACATCAAGAACATCATACATAAAGAAAGCAAAGGATCATTAAATAGACAGGGAAGAAAGTAAAGAGCAAAGTGGATGTCAGAAGAGAATCTTGAACTTTCTCTTGATTGTAGAATGGCTAAAGCAAATAGAAGAAATGATGAAGCAAAATATCTGAACAGAGAATTACAAAGGGAATTAAGAGAAGACAAAGTATTAAAATGCATTGTACAAATACCTGGAGATAGAAAACTCAAAAGAGGAAGAACACACTTCAACTCAATTTGAAGAAAATGATGAAAACATTCTAGCTTTGAGTTACAAGACTGAAGGCTTCCAAAGGCTAAATATTGAACAATATAGGAGGGATCAAAAGAAGATGGAAAAATATACAGACCCATGGTACCAAAAAGAACTAGTCAACATTCAACCTTTCAAGAGGTAGCATAGGAGCAAGAACCAACTACTCTGAAGGAAGAAATCAAAGTGGCCCTGACACACTAGGGAAAAGCAATGCTCCAGGAATGGGCAGAACACCCACCCAAAGGTTTCAACAAACCGATGCAGCACTTGAAGCACTCACTCACTTTGCCAAGAAATTTGGAAGACAGCGACCTGGCCAATACATTGCATGAGATCCACATTTGTGTCCATTTCATAACTGGACCAATAGATAACATCATGATAAACAGAAAAGATTTCCTCTAGCTTGGACCCATACCAAATGTTCATGAAAGCAGCAGCCAAGAATTCAAATGGCAGATTGCATCGGGCAAATCTGTTGTACAGACCTCTTTAAAGTGTTGATGAACAAGGACGTCACTTTGAGGACTAAGGTGGGCTTGCCCCAAGTCATAAGTTTTTTGGGTTTTTTTTGACAGACAAGAACAGGCAAAAAGTTTATTAGTGGTTACAAGAGGTGTGAGGGATGGGAAAAGATGGGGGAAGGGAAATTTTACTGCTTATGGAGCTCGGGGAGCCCTGGTGGTGTAGTGGCTGTGTGTTGGGCTATAAGCCACATGGTTGGCAGTTCAAAACTACCAGCAGATCCATGGGAGAAAGATTGGGCTTTCTACTCCCATAATCAGTTACAGTCTCCCAAGCCCACCAGGGGTCTCATGAGTCAGCCCTAAGGGTAGAACTGCTCAATATGTAAATCCAATAATTTTATGATAGAATATTGTGCTAACTCAGGCACAAGGGAACAACAAGTGATCCAAAATCTATGGTGAGGAGGGTATCGGAGGCCTGGTAGGACTTGATCAAGGGCAATGTAACCGAGAGGAATTACTGAAACCCAAATGAAGGCTGAACATGATAGTGGGACAAAAGGAAAGTAAAAAGAAATAGAGGAAAGAACTAGGAGGCAAAAGGCATTTACAGAGGTCCAAATACAGGCATCTACATATGTAAATATTGTGGTTATTATGTTTCATTTGTTCATTCCATATATTCATTGAACTCCTAATAAGGGCTAAGCACAGGGTTACTCGAGAAAGTTGAAAGAGGTATAGTAGCTGCCCTCATAGAATTTACCTACTAGAGAGAGGGGGACATTCATTGGTTAATTGCACAAATGGATGTAAAACAGTCGCTATGTCAGGAACTAAGGGTGGTAGTAGAACAGGAGAGGTCTAGCTATGTAAGCTAACCTTATTTGAGGGAACCAATCTTAGAGGGCTTATTCCAAATTCAGACTTTTATGTTAAAGCAATAGAAAGGTATTGGAAAAAAAAATTTTAATCATTTTATTGGGGGCTTGTATAACTCATCACAATCCATACATACACCCATGGTGTCAAACACAGGTGTACACTTGTTGCCATCATTTAAAAAATATTTTCTTTCTACTTGAGCCCTTGGTATCAGCTCATTTTTCCCCTTCCTCCCCCACCCTCCCTTCCTCACAAACCCTTGATAATTTATAAATTATTATTATTTTATCATGTCTTAAACACTGACCAATGTCTCCCCCTTCATCCACTTTTCTGTTGTTCATCCCCCTGGGAG